CACACAGCAAGAGTGGCTTATAGACAACTGTGAATGTCCTTGAGTGGCCCAGCCAGAGCCTGGGCTTGAACCCAGTCAAATATTTCTGGAGAAACTTGAAAATGTGCATCTGCCCCCTTCCAACCTGACAGAGCTTGAGAGGTGAAGAAGTGAGGAGAAGAATGGCATTGCCAAACAAAAAAGACTTGAGACTGTAAAGTTGCTTCAGCTAAATATTTAGTGGAATACTTATGCAATGTACTTATTTCAGTGGTTTTTTTTTTTTATACATTTACGAAGTTGTGACAATTCTGTTTTTGCTTTGTCAGTATGGTGTATGGAGTGTAGACTCCACATTCTCTTGATGTGGAAAAAAAGTAATTTAAAGCAGTTTAACATAAGGCAGCAACATAACAAAACGTGAAAAAAATGAAGGGGTATGAATACTTTCGCAAGGCACTGTACACACAAAAATGCAAGCGTTAGATGAAATCATCAATTTCCATCTGTTTGGCTGGTATTATGCAACTTATAGGAGTTAGGGTATACTGGCTTCTTTATTAGTCTGCCTGGAATTTAAAAGCTGGAACACACTACACAGCTTTTGCCTAGATTTTTGCCCTGATTTGCAGTCTGGATTAGTCGACCCTAGCTGCTGAAAGTCAGAGCCAGTGGGAGTTGACAGATTTCACAGAAAATCTTATAGTGTACGCTGGCTCTGATTTTATTAGTTTAAGACTATGATTTCATCTAGCCTATGGATATAAGCCACATTTGATATTTTGAGCTAATTTTTTTTAAATTCTTTTAGAACACTTCATTTTTCACACGTCTCCTTAGAATGATTTCTGAAGGACCATGTGACACTGAAGACTGAAGTAATGGCTGCTGAAAATTCAGCTTTCACGGGGATAAATAACATTTTAAAATATTAAAATAGATAACAGTTCTTATCTATTTTGTAATAATATATTAATATTTATATATTAATAATAATAATATATTAATACAATATATTAATTGTGTAATAATATTTTACAATACTATTGTTTTACTGTATATTTGTGTGAATAAATGCAGCCTTTGTGAGCATAAAAAACTTATTTCAAAATAATTAAAAAATCTTAATTATTCCACTAACATTTTGGTAGTGTATGTCAATTAAATAATCAGTACTTATTATTTTTGGACAGCCCAAAATTCAAATCACAATATCCACACACATAGCAACATTTATTTTCAGACTACACAAGACAAAAATTACAAAAGTTGTAATACCTGGTATTTAACTTTTTTTCCCCTAACCCAAAAGGACTAGAATTATGTGATAAAATGTAATGAATATATATACTACTCTCTCAGAACTGAAATTATACTTTAAGGTTTAAAAAATCTATAGTATCCAATCACAGCCTTCATCTGCACGCCGATGCTTATTTCCTCACCTCAAAGAGCATCTTTCAACATTACACAACTGTGTTTGTTACAAAGTGTGTGAATCCCTCCTTTTCTCTTTTTCTGTGCGAGCACCTTTTCAGATGATGATGTATAGTGTCCATATATTCAATAGTGGTACAAAAGCCCATCAAAGGACTTGGTCTGTGTGCATAAAGCAGCTTGCGATGCGGCCGCATTGATTGAGCTTCCACCTCAGTCATTGTGAATGTGTTGCTATCAGACAAGCTCTTTTCTCCTCTATGGATGGCTGTGTCACTGTGGTAATTACAGGCTATATAGGGAGGATTTGTTTATGTAAATATGTGCGTTTGATGCATGGGGCCCTCTCGGGCATGTCTCCTATCACAGCGGCGTCTCTTTCCTCCTGTCAGAGTCACCTTAACAGAACCACTGGGCCTAAACCTGACAGCAACAGCTTGACAGATGAGTGTGTGTGGGTTTTGCGCATTTATTTTCTGCCTCTCACTTTCTTTTTCTCCTGGTGGCATAGAAGGATTGTGGTCCTCAGGAAAGGTCCCCAGGCACCAGTGTCTTCAGAGACACAATTTTGAGATAAAGTGTCCAAATAACAAGAAATTACATTGCAAATATGAGAAATCAAGTTGTAATTATGAAAATGAACACCATAGGTGTGTACAACAGACAACAACGTATTATAACTGTAGTACGCAACATCAAATCCTCGATAAGGAGCTTAGAAAGAATTACTACGTGCCATTTTTTAAGTAAAGTGTATGTGTCTATCCATATCAGCTGTCAAACATCTGCAGCAGCATGTTTTCAGGTGTCTTAGCTGGTGGCCCTTGGCCAAAAGAAGCCCGAGACACCAGCCCAATTAGTCCTGTTTAATAAGCCATCTTTCATTGCTGGAGTGTAACAATTATTCTGCAAACTTTCACAGTTGAAATTGAGTCATTTCAATAGAA